TCGAGTTTTGAAATTGCAGTGTAGCTTTCTAAACTTTTTGTTTTGGTAATTACTATACATGTAGATGTTTTTCTGTTGTTTTTATGCATAATAAATGTTTTTTTTATCGAATTTTTAACTTTTTTTTCACAACAAAACACCTTCACTATCACGTTAACACTAACCAAAGCGATCCAATGTAAGTATTACCACTTTAATTAGTTTTTGTTGTAAATATATATTAACTTTATTTGGTAAACGTGAATTAATTAAAAAAAAAAATACTGTAAATATTTTAGAAATTAAATCTTTAATTGCCAACATTCCCACATTTTTCGATTTTCTCTTTATGTATTTTCCCATATTTTTTTTTTCTTTCAGTTCAAATTGGAAGATGCAACGAAAGATGACGAGCCGCCACCGGTGCCCTCGTTCTTGAGAAGACCTGCGGCTTCTTCGGCCCCGATTCCCAGACCGGCCTCGGCCCCTGTCGAAACCGCAGAGACGACAGTGACACTGCCCCTTCGAAGGCCCAAATCTCAAGAAGAAAGAGGTACAATATCGTTCACTCTTGTTCCACTCCCTCGTGTGTCCAATAAGTAAATTTAAACGTAATTTCTTAGAACAAGACAAGGAAAACGATGCCAGGAACGCCCAGGCGACCCTCGCCACCCAAGCAGCCATCCAAAGAAGAAGGAGACCAAAGAGGAGGTCCACCGGAGTGGTAGCATTCGACAACTTGGATGTGAGTGTCTAATAAATCTATTGAAAGACATCTAGAGTCAGTTTAACAACTTTTTCCTTGTGTTTTTAAGGACCTGGACCCTAGTAAAGAGACCACAGGGGGAGGAGATGCCCAGGACAGCTCAAACGTTAACAACGATGAGGTGAGGACGATCTCTGAATTTGTAGAGCCCAGTATCCGAGCAGGTCTTGTATATGAGCAATTTATAACGCCCTGTATACACTTATCTATAGTAACAATCGCTTATTTATCTCGCCCTGTGCTCATATCGCTTGGTACGAATTTATATCGCTGTTTTCGCGCTACTTATATCATCTGTCTTTAATCGATCCGTTTTCCGAGTGCATATGTCTGCGCGCCATCTGTGTTTCGGTTGTCAAAGTTATTAAGGTGTCGTCGTATCGATCGCCGCTCGCGGCTCACGCTCAACGTTATTATAAAATTTATCGCAATATTTAGGGTTTAAACGATAAGAAACAACTTAAATTTTCAAAATATATTTTAATTTCGAAACGTCATTGACTCCGACCCCGGCTGCGAATTGATATTTTTACTCGGTGTCTAAAAGAAGAAGGACACCAATGTCACGGTGCCTGGTCAGCCAGTCGATTGATAAACAAATAGTCGTTCGTCTGTACTAAAAATAAAGGTACCTTAAACTTTACCTTTAATTCCCCCCTCTCCGTCTCTCTAAATAAACAAATACGCGAATGCTTTTAACGACGCGCGTCTGCTTTCTGTACATATAAACGATCGATGTTGTCGTTACACGCGCACGATTACGTAATAAATCGAGACGGAACGAAACGTTTACGGCCTGATTTAGTGATTTATTCGTTTGTCCTTAAATTGGATTTTTTTTAAATTGTACGAATTAAATTAAAACGAATGGTATTATGTCCAAAGATAGAGGGACCGTTGGGGACCAAAAGAATAAAAATTTCTCAAAAGAATGGTATACGAGTCAGCTGGCTGAAGAGGCCGGATATGCTGAACGAAACATTTGCTAAGCAATAAAATGATGCTAACTCTTGTCATCATCAGAAGGTCGTCAGTCCTAAAGACTGGTTGGACACGTACCTCCACTCTTCCCTATCCTGAGCTAAACTTCGCATTTCCCTAAAACTAGAACAGCCCACATCCTTAACTATTTGCGATCAGTAATCTAATCTAGGTCTGCATCTACTCCTCTTAACTCCTGTTTCTGCCTCTAATAAGTCTCTGACTACACCTGCATTCCTGAGAAGGTGTCCTACCAACCTATCTCCCCTATTGGTCATTTTTTACATTAGTTGACATTGGAATTGAGACATGAAGTTTACTCAGGTAGGTAGTACTCACCATGTAGAATCGTGTGGTAGTATTAATTCCATGCGGAAACCAATGTAGCTTGAGATACAGGCTCGTAAAGTTTTCTTAATTGGAGGAAATTCCGGTTGGTACGGCCCTGGCTGCAGCCCTTCGTCAGCTGTTCTCGCCAAATATGCATTGATGACGTCATTGTTTAGTTAGGTAGATTTATGACAGACTCGAGCTCGCTTAATGCCCCTGCCCGCCGAAGGCGGGCTGATACATTAGAATAATGTTAGGAAGATATTTACGATGTTTGGCGGGAACAGCTGACGGAAGGCTGAAGCCAGGGCCGTACCTACCGGAATTTCCTCCGATTAAGAAAACTTTGAGGGCCTGTATCTCACTCACATTGATTTTTATACTACTACACTACTTTACTTGGTGAGTACTACCTACGTGACTAAACTTCATGTCTCAATTCCAATGTCAACTAATGTAAAAAATTACCCCCCTATTTTTTATTGACTTCCATAGAGTCCTCTTTATCTCCTATTCTTTCCAATACCTCTTCATTTCTAACCTTTTCTACCCACGATATCCTCATCATCCGCCTATAACACCACATTTCGAACGCTTCTAACCTTTTCTTTTCNAGGAGGAGTCTACGATAGTATTTTTTTTTTTCGTTTAACGTTGTCAAACATTTGCAAAGCACTTTTCTAACTTACCTACTGGTCCTCAGCATTTTAACAATAAAATAAAATAAAAAATAGAAAATGAAACGCTTGAAACTAATAAACAACTGACTAACTCATCATATCATTAATTTGTGTACACTTTTCTTGCTGTGTTAATAATGATTTTAATATTTAGGTTAATACTTGGTAATAAACAAAAAAATTAGGACTCTCTTGCCGTTGGAAGATTTGTAAAATTCTCATTAATATTTTTTATTTGCAGAAGACAAGAGTACATCGGATGTAAATAATGAAAACGAAGTTAGTCTGAGACGGACCAATAGTTTCCAGAATGACCCAGAGTGAGTATAATTTGTGACTTTTAACATCTATTTTGTTTATTTATTTTATTTCGTCATTATCAGCCAATATATGAATAACCGTTTAAGTTATCTAACGCTGCTGAGTATTTAATAATAACTAATTAATTTTATCTGGGGATAATACATAATGTTATCATATTGCTTGCCTTTATTAATATAAATTTGCCTTTTGTTTTGGATTAAATTGCAGTATTAAAGAATAATTCATTTGTTTACAGAAATAATTGAAAATTGTTGTTATTGTTTTTGCATTTGGTTAGAAGTAAAAAAAAAAAAAAGAAAAACGTTCTTATTTAGATTGATTTTGTTATAGAAGATTTTCGAATGTTTTTTATCGTTTTCAAATGTTTTTTTATTCTTTTGATCTACTACTACTACTACTTTACAATTTTGCTGCTTAGTTCGTAGAAAAAGTAGACTGTGTTTGCAGAATGCGATACTTTTTTATTCCGTAGATAATAATAATTGTTATAAATATTATTTTTTGAACTGAGTCTAACTCTTTGAATTACTGTTATTATTCATATGAAAGGGAATGAAGATTATTATTATTATTATTGTTTGGTATTTATCATCGATTTCTGTACTCTTCGGAACCAATGCTTTATTATTAATCTTTTTTGCAGCTCTCTTGCTTCAGCTTATTTATTACATTCCGGCTTTATTTATACTTTAACAAATTTCCGCCTCTCGATTGATATTATTTTTACTCCAGTATTATCACGTTTTCTACCTTTTTTCTGATATTATTTTGCATAATCAATAATTCATAGTCTCTCCTCTTCGTTCATTCATTTTCGTTTCTTATTTTCTGTTTTGATTACCTAATTAGTAAGTAATTCTTCTTGGGTAAGTAATAATCTTTATTTTTTGATATCTATTAAATACTTAACAATTTACAGTTCTCCCATCTCCCCTCTCGCCCTCTCTTTCGACCATATCGGTCACGTAAAGCTTCTCTACTTATCAGTCTGTCCAAATGAACGAATAAACCCCTTTTGCAATTGTTCGTTATTGTTTTGTTTTAATTCATTAAGCTCGTTCAAAAACTAATATTCCAGTTTCGAACGTCGCGCCGGTTATTCCCCCGAATGCGACGAATACAGTGGCGAACTTCTAAAGTAGTATTTCTATTTAGTCGCGTCTAATACTCCTTTGCTTGCATGTTTAGGTTCTACACGCGATATCAGGCGCTGCGTGCACGCATACAGGCCAGCTCTGATCCCACTCATTACTCCTTCCCTTACGATTCCCAATCTAAGTACATCATCGCCCCTTCTAACAAAAACCGGCAGCAAAACAGGTACGCACGATTCAATTTTGTTTTGACTTTTTTTTTTTAATTTTTGTTATTAGTTATTCTTTTGTCGTTTTTTTTTTTTTGTTTTTTGTACTGCTCGGGAATCTTTTGTTTTTTGTTTCGTCGTTTTGATGAATAACATGATCTGACTTCCGTGTCTGTGCTTTCGCTTTTTATACGTACACGTCATGTGCTGCATGCTTTGCGATGTGCGTCCCCAGCCTACTATTTAGATGTGCTATTGTGACCGCTTTTCGTTTGTTTCTATGCGAGAATGACATCTGTTGGATTGTTTTTAAACAAGTGACGATATAAAACTAAACAGTTTGATTTTTAATTAATTAATTCATTTCTATGGCATTTTCATTTTGTTTGTCTCAAGAACTAAAGTTTGCCTGTAAAATTCATATTTTCTTTAACGAAAAAGAAAAAAAAAACATCTAATAATTATCGATCTTTCAAATTGACTTTGTTACATTGAATGTACTAATTGGTACCGAGTTATGTTTGTGTTTGGTTCTCGTCCATTTTTTTTTTGTTGCATATTTGAGACTAATTGATACAGAAATTTGGTAAGGTTTGGAATTTTAATGTTTTATTGACACCATTGCAGGCACCAAGACAAAGAGGAGACAGTTTCCGTTAGCAGTACATCTACTGTCAATTCTGTTACAACGAGTACTTCTAGCACCCCAACGAACACCTCCCTATCACCCACGACCAGTCCCGTGCCCAATAGTCAACCTGTACGAAGGTCAGTCAATAGTCATTACTTTATTTTATATGTTTTTTTTATTATTAGATTCATTATCTTTACACTTTAATTTTAATAAGAATGTATGCAATTGTTTTTTTACGAAGTTTTAGATATTACTACAATAATTTTAGTATTTATACACAAAACAAATGAAAATTTTGAAGTCAGTCAATTGCCAGTCGTTTCTTCTTTTTTAGTTCATTTGTTAATAGATGTGCGTATTGTTTTACTTTGTTTTGTTGTTCTTTTGTCGTTATGACCGTATGCTCTTTTAATCGATCGCAGTGGGCTGAAGTTACCTGTCGGCGCAAACGCACCCGCTGCTGTCGCCAGTACTGCCAACACAAACACTTCCGCTATCTCCCCCTCTTCCGGTGGAAACAGGCTTACCGTCATTAAAAATTTCTTTAAGTATGCGTTGTCGTGTTAGCAATAATTAAAAAATTAATATAATAACAATAGAAAAAAGAAGGAGGTTCCAATTAACAATAACGCAGAGTTTGATTTTGTTTTAAGAAACAAAACAACAGTCA